CTCCCCCATTTCTGAAGAAGGGTCTAGGCCCGAAACATCAGCCTTCCTGCTCCTCTGATGCTGCTTGGCCTGCTGTGTTCATCCAGCTCTACACCTTGTTATCTAAGAATGGGATGGCACTGATTTAAAGTGATGTGCAAGCGAAGTAAGCGTGATGTGAGAGAAAATTTTTTTTCACCCAGCATGTAGCTTGGGTGTGGAACGCACTGCCTAGAAATGTGGTAGAAGCATTCCAGAGGGGCATTGGATGGTTATTTGGATAGAAATAGTGTGCTGTCCAGAACACTCTGAGCTCACCATGCTTGTCGTGAGATGTCAAAGTGGTAGGCCCTGCTGATCTCATCGAGATGGGCTTGTAGCATCGGCTGCATCTCCTCACGGGGCGAAGGGGTGAGGGTGGCCGTCGACTGCTGGCCAAAGGAAATGGCAGGCGAGGAGGTGATCCCACGGACTGGGGGCGTTGGCACACGGTCTTCCTCTTCCTCCAGCTCATCCTCCATGCCCTGGTGCAGGTAGCTCTTCACAGGTGGTGGAGGACACCATCCATCACTGTCATAGCTAAGGATGGGGTGCCAGAGAAACACAACAATCAGTTACTACCAATCGTAGACGACTGCAACAACAACAACTTGCATTATATGGCAGTCAAAATCTACGCCCCTCCTCCCAAAACATTTCACAGGAGAGTTAGCAAACAAAGGTTGATACAGACACGATCAGACATGAGGATAGGCAACTGAAAGCTTGGCCGAAGAGGAAGTATCTTAAAGGCTTTGCAAGACCACAAGAAATAACAGCAGGAACACACCATTCACCCCACTGAGCTTGCTGTAACATCCATTATGATCATTGGCTGATCTTGAGTTTAAACACTTTTCCTTCCCCTTTATCCCCACTCATGCCCCCAAGAGAGATCAACAATCACAGTCTTAACTGTACTCAGCAACAGAGCAGTCACAACCCTCTAGGGAGTGTGGAGAATTCCAAAGATTCACAACTCTCTGAGTGAAATAACTTTCCTCGTTCCTGTCCTAAATGATTGGGTCCTTGTCTGGAGGCTGTGTCCCTGCGTTTTCAATCCCCTGATCAACAAAAACTATCTTCTGTCCTCACAAACCCGTTGTGCCTACCAATGTAATTGCCTCTCATTTGTGTAAACTCCTGAGAATGTCTGCCCAATCTACTCAGCATCTTATCATAGACACAGGGAACAGTTTGATGAACATTCACTGCAATGCCAACAAGGTAAGATATCTATCTGTGATTTTTTTTCTAAAATCTTTTTTCAAGAAATTGGGACTTCTGCTCACCCAAATTCATTAGTCAGGCTCCATCTAGACTCTGGCTTTCCCAAGAACAACATAGAAATCTAGAAAATAGGAGCAGGAGGAGGCCATTCAGCCCTTCAAGCCTGCTCCACCATTCAGTATGATCATGATTGATCATTCAACTCAGTCCTGTGTTCCCGTTTTCTCCGCCATACCTTTTGATCCCTTTAGCCCTATGAACTATATCTAACTCCTTCTTGAAAACATTCAATGTTTTGGCCTCAACTGCTTTCTGTGGCAGAGAATTCCACAGGCTCAACACCCTCTGGGTAAAGATATTTCTCCTCATCTCAGTCCTAAATGGCCTACCCTGTATCCTCTAACTTAGACAAAACCATCCAAAATTTAACACTGCACACTTGCCTACGCTGAAATTAAATTCACCCATTCTGAGGGCATGATACTATCTTCCAAGCATTTGGTCTCTGTTTCAGATTTACAGCATCTGCAGTTACCTGGTTTTGATTTAACACTTTTGATCTCATTGAACAATCTCCAGTGAAGTAATTAAAATGTATAAACTGGGGGAGAATCCTAATTTATTAAACTGTGTGCGCTGCCGAGATGGTGCTGTAGCAGGATGGAGTGTAATTGCAGCATTATCAGAATGAATCAAGGCAATAACCCCGTCTCACACATCCCAAATATTAAATAGCCTTTTGTCAGTGATCTCCTCCATTCATAGCTGCCAAGGTTCAGCTCAAATACACTTTGGATAATTGATTCACTGAAAGTTAAAATCAACAGATTCGAAGTGTTTTTATTTAATTATTAAGCTATCTTTTCTCATTATGAAGCAGGAGAACTTTCGAGACCCTCAAGCTGTGATCTTTTAGATGCTTAGCACAGCAAATTCCTTTAATAGGAAGGCATGTCATAAAAACTGACAGCACAGAAAGAGGCCATTTGGTCTCTCATGCCTGGGCCAGCTTTTGGCAGAGCTATTCAACTGTTCTCTCTCCCTTTGATTTTTCTCCAGATAATAACAACGGAGCAAGAAGCACTTCAATAGCACCTACCTACCCCACAACCATGACCTCCTAGGTGCATAAATGCAGTTGTTAAACCTACAGGAGCATAATTAGGCCATTCAGCCCATCATATCTGATCCGTCATTTGATCATGGCTGATATGTTTCTCAACTCCATTCTCCTGCTTTCTCCCCATAACACTTGATCCCTTTACTAATCAAGAGCCTATCTATCTCTGTCTCAACTAAACTCAATGACTAGGTCTCCACAGCCCTCTGCAGCAATGAGTTCCACAGATTCACCACCCACCGGCTGCAGAAATTCCTCTTCATCTCAGTTCTGGAGTCATCCCTTTACCTGGAGGCTGTGCCCTCGGGTCCTAGTCTTTCCCTACTTGTGGGAACATCTTCTCCATGTCCACTCTATCCAGGCCTCTCGGTAGTCTGTAAGCTTCAGTTGGATCCCCCTCATCCTTCTAAAATCCATCGAGTACAGACCCAGAGTCCTAAAACGTTCCTCACATGACAAGCCCTTTCCAAGTTCCCCTCCAAGCCACTCACCATCCTGACTTTGAAATATATCACTGTCACTGGGTCAAAATCTTTGAACTGCTTGCTCAGACAACTGTGGGTGTACATACAGCACATTGTTCACAATGAATGAGAAGGTATCTCGATATCAGCTTGTCCAGGGCGTTAAGGAATGGTCATTAAATTCTTTCCTTGCCAGAAATGCCAACATGTCACAATCAAATTCTTAAAAAGTGCATAATCAAGGGCTCTTGAAAGACACAAAGATACCTGTCTCTACCACCCTTTCAGGCAGTAAGTTCCAGATCCCAACCATCCTCAATTCCCTCTCAATGTTCTCCGAATTGCTTCAGCTTTATGTCCCCGAGTTATTGATGGTTTTGCTATGGGAAATAAGTTGTTCCTATCTGCTCTGTCAAGATATTTTTAAGATGTGGAGGTGCTGGTGTTGGAGTGGGGTGGACAAGGTCAGAAATCACACGACACCAGGTTATAGTCCAACAGGTTTATTTGAAATCACAAGCTTTCTGAGCCTTGCTCCTTCTTCAGGTGTTAGTGAGAGAGGTAATATCACACACTGAATTTAAAAGTAAAAGATCAAAGGGTCACACTACTGATGAGGATGTATTAAACAAACCTACCCTGTTAAATCTTTAATCAGATAGAAGGTTTTAATTGATTAATATGTATCTGTAAACCCCCAAATTCCTTTCAAATCACTGCCCTGAGAGAACTAAAGGTTTCATCAGTATACAGAAAATGGGGAATTTTAGGTCAGGCAATGCATGTTAGGTGTGAGGCCTTGTTTAGAATCTGTTTGTGTTTTGGTTTGTAGTCAGACTGGTTTTATTTCTAAAGTAGGGATTAATAAAACGTCACATATACTAACTGTCTATAAATTGTGTACTTTTTGAACAAAATAGAATGTATCTGCAAATACAAATTCACCCTATAGATCTACATGTGTGTGTGAGAGGGGATATTTTTAGATATTTTCTAATCAACCTGGTCAATGATGTTATTAGACACTTCTGAAGCAAGTGGGACTTGAACCCAGGCCTCCCGGCTCAGAGGTAAGGACATTACCACTGTGCCTCAAGAACCTTAAGTTCATTCCTTCTATTTTACATTTTCTGATCAACCTGGTCAAAGATATTATTACACACCTCTAGAGAAGGTTGGACATGAACCCAGGTCTCCTGGCCCAGAGGTAGGACACTATCGCTGCACCACAAGAACTCTTCCTCATAATTTAATACTCCTCAATTAACCTCCCCTTATTCTGCTCTAAGGAAAACAAGTCCAGCCTATTCAGTGTCTCCTCTTAAAACTTTCCTTTCCTGGTGATAGTATGTCAACCTCTGCACTTTCTCCAATGTGATTGCATCTTTCTGTGATGCAGTGACCAGAAATGGATGCAATTTCTCCCATTGTTCTCACTATTATTTCATACATTGCTGTACATTATACCCCCTCTTACATTACAATAATTATGGTGGTAAAGATCTATAAAGTGATCCTGCTTACTCCTGATTCCTGTGCAGAACTTTCATCTGCTATTCTGGAGAAGGGTCATTGGACTGAAAATGTTAACTGTTTCTCTTTGCACGGATATTGCCAGACCTGCTGAATTTCTCCAGCATTCCCTGTGTTTCTTTTATCTCCAGGAATGTTTTCTTACACATCTTTACAGACTGATCATCTCTGTCAGTGCAAGCCTGGCTGGAACAGAGAATCATGCGTTCTGTCACATTATTTAGACCTTTTCTCTCAACCTCCAGTTTGACCAAGGTTAATGTTGTATCTTGCTGGATGTGAGAGATAATGACTACACAGTGAAGACAACAGGGTATCTAGGAAATGATTAGAATGTTATGCAGATGAGATGAGATGACATAGAGTGGAAGAAGGCACCTGGGCAGTATAAAGCTTAACATCAAACAGTAGGGCTGAATGGCCCATTTCTATGCTGTAATTTCTATGCAACTTCAGTATGGTCGAGAAAAGACACATTATGTCGAGGTTTTACATCTCAACTCATCAGGAGAACTTTCAAGAATACTACTTCAAGGGGGAAAGCAACATTTACAGTCCGAGAGAACAATACTGATTATGTAGCAGTTGGAGTCTGATTGGCAGAGATGTTCCCATGCCGAATGCACCCATGAATGGTGATTGACAATTAAGTGCCAGGCACATAGGCTCCCGCTGGCGTTGCCCAAGAAATGAACTCATGAATGGCTGTTACTTACTTTATCAACTTGAAACAGTGTATGCACATTTTTTTCCATTTGCAAAGAGCAGGGCCCTATATATTAATGTGTGTAGCTTCCAGTACACACACATTTGCCCCACTGTCAATCTGACTAACAATCCTAAATTGCTCCATCAGCATTAATAGGTGCATTCTCCATGGCAATGTCTCTACCAATCAGAGTCCATTTGACAATTAATTAACCCTCACTTTTCATGAAGTATAAATGGTGGTTTTCCCCTTGACTTGGTATTCTAGTGAAGTGTCCTGATGAAAAGATGATGCAAGACAAAAAGTTTTGACAATATGTGTGTTTTTCAGAAATACCCAAGTTCTCTACTAACCAAATGGCTATTTCTACGTAACTTTAGTGAATGACAGGATTGACTGCTTATCTCTCTCCTCAACATATCCTTAAAAGATCCAAAAGAAACTGAGAAATGACACAAAAGGCAACTGAGGAATAACAGTCAAA